TGTGGAGTTGTGTCCAATCTTCCCTGTGCTGCTGAGAGCGCCCCAGCAAGGGGCTCCTAGCTGCTACTCCGGGCAGGGCTGGGGCATGACAGGACTTGCTCTTTCCCTGCAGGGCTGCTCTTGGATCTCTCTCCCGGCTGCAGATAGGAAGCAAGTGGGGAGAAGGGGGTGCGGAGCTATTCCCCTCCCTTTGCAGCTGCCTGGGGAGGGGACATCGTACATTTGCAAGTGCTAATATACCATTGGAAAAACTTGATCACCCAAAGCTGCATGAGTTCATTCAACGGAATGTACAAAATGGCGGTTGCTTACCAAGTGCGAATAAGCTACGACACAACTACCTTCCAAAGGTTTTTGCTACACATTTTGAGGAGATAAATTCTCAAATTCACTCGTGTGTCTTTTGCAATTATTTCGGATGAGTCCACAGATGAACACGACAACCATGTACTGCATGTTCTGTTTGATTTTATTTCTGGCAAGGCCGAAGATGTACAGACAGGAAAGCTAACAATAGTGCTCACCGACTGCTGTTAACTACACGACAGTTTCTCAAGTGATAATTAAAACCATTTCAAAGTACAGTGCAAACTTTGACAAAGTATCTGCTTTCATAAGTGACAATGCAACTTACATGACAAAATCTTTCAAATCGGTTCTCCAAGGTCTAAGGCCAAATGGGCACATATAATTTCTCTTGTCAATGAGCTGTAGAGATGTGAGTTTGGTAAAGCTGATAAACTGGTCAGCTACGTTAAAAAGATCTTCAAATACTGCCCTAGCTGCAAACTTCGATACAGGCAGCACATTGCAAACACGACTGAAATTGGGGAACAAAAAACTGCACTTCCCCCAGAGCCAGTAATGACGTGTTGGAATTCCTGGTTTGGGGCTGTACAATACCATGCAGCTCACCTGAAGTACTGCTCAGAGTTTGTCTCTGAAGAGCTGACACCGAAAACGCAAGTTTTAACAGAACTCTCAACCCTTCTAAATGATGCTCAGCTGAATGAGGAAGTTCAGTTTGTTGCCAAAAATGCCACAGGACTCATGGACTTAATCACTTGGTTTGAATCTCGACATGTCACAACCCACCAAGCGTACAACAAAGAAATGGATGTATGGTTCTGGGCTGAACCACAGTCAAACGAAAAATCACTCTGACAATGCTGAGTTCAATGCCAGTGCTCAGCAGGTGTTTTCTTGCATGGCAAAGAAACTCAGACAATACTACTGCTATGGAGAAGAGACAAGCGACGTAGCAAAAATGTCTCAAAAATTTCAACAACCTGCAGCCGTGTTCCTAAAAGTGGTGTGTATTTTTGACCCTGCACAAATGCACTTGTTGAGGGTGGATTTAACCTCGCTTAATGCAATTCCTGGCTTTGATAAGAATTGTAGGCTGGAGATGCCTGCTCACAAAAATATTGCGAAAGAAGCGAACTGTAGTCTACCTGTGCTACAGTTTTGGAACCCAGTGGAAGGCAGAATCCCCCATCTTGCAAGGCTAGCTCGGCGCTGTCTGACATTTCCAACAAACTCTGTGGATGCAGAGAGAGTCGTGTCTAAACACAGCTCAGAGACAGGGAATGAAGAAAGACATGGTCGCTGGATGCTCCATGCTGACATTCAACTAATGACATTTGAAACCAGAACTCCCCCCCTCCCTTGTTTTTGTTAATTTAAAGCTGTGGTTCACAAGCTTGAGATGACTACCCTACAAAACGGTCTCAGATGCCCGTATCTACCAATCAGGGAGCTGAGCCCTGAGTGTTATTTGCTGCTGTGAAGTGTCCATCGATAAATCCTGTCAGGTTCACATGACTTTTATCTTATTGAAACAAGCCAATAATTGCATCTTGAAGGGGGGGCACACCCTGTCCAGTGACCACTCCCGCTACAGCTGCAGAGCGATGGGGGCAAGAAGCGAGTGTGGGGCAGAGGGTGTGGAGCTTTCTGCAGTCGGGAGAGGTTCCCAAGAGCAGCCGTGCACAGGAAGAGCAAGACTTGTTCCCCCAAGCTGGCCAGAACTAGCAGCTAGGAGCCCCTGGCTGGGACGCTCCCAGCAGCACGAGGGAGATCAGACCCACCTCCACCTCCAGGAACCTCCTGCGGCTGCAGGAAGCTCTGCGGTTGCTGCCTTCAGAGTCCAGCTCTGAAGGCAGCACAGAAGCGAGGGTGGAAATCCCATGATCACCCTACAACAGGTTTGCGACACCCCCCACACACATACACAATCCCCTTTTGGGTCGGGACCCCCCCATGGTTACAACACCGTGAAATTTCAGATTTAAACAACTGAAAACATGAAATTTACCAATTTTCCAATCCTCTGGCCGTGAAATTGACCATAATGGACTGTGAATTTGGTAGGGCCCTACAGATAAGGGACTGAAAATAGACCCCACAGTTGCAGAGCAACACCCCAGTCCAGTTTCCTCCTCCTGGTACAAGGGATGCCCATTTTGGCCAGCACCAGGAGGAGGTTGACAAAGAGGACTTGCAATTTTGTGGGGCTCTGGATGGGGTGTGCATAAATGGGGAGGTGCAAACCGAACTTCATTAAAAGGCTTTGGAGGAGCTGGAAGTGGGCTGCAGCGTGACAAGCTCTATATAGATGGCTGCCAGGGTCTCCCTCTTGCTGCAAAAGGGACAGGTGTCAGGGGAGTTTATGAACCATGCCAGCTACACACTTGTGCTTACGGCTCCACGTAAGAGCAGCCAACTAATACCCCCAGCGGTGTGTGGAACCAGAGTGAGAACAGACTGACTCACTGGGGTTCCTTGCCCTCCTCAGGTGGCAGCAGGTCCTGTTACCTGATGTCAGGGCAGGACACGAGGGCGAGGCAGTGGATGGTATGAAGCATGAACTTGTACAGATGTTCTCCAGGTGCAGTTCGGAGGCGGACCAGCTGGATGTCACTCAGATGACTCAGGTGAAGCGCTGGGGCAACCAGGGCCCAATTACAAGCTCTGGAGGATAGTGGTGAGCAGGGATCACCCTCCCACAGGACCCACTCAAGGAAAGCGAGAGAACAGGGAGCAAGGGGAGAAAGTGCAGCGTGGACAAGACTTGTGTTAGAGCAGGGCAGTACCCTGCCTATTATTACCTGGTTCAGTCATGCCTAGGTGGTTGCAATCAAGCCATCTTATGATCATGTAATGACCCTGTTCTGTTACAGGGCTATAGCATGGTCCCATTTACACAGGCAAAATCAAATCCTCTTTTAACATGGCTTAAGCATTTCCATGTTATAATATGATGCCCTAGTAACATAACTGTAGAAATGAGCTAACCAGGGGGAAGACACGGAGCAACATGCACCACAGTTTGGCTAGAACAGTTCCAGATAAATCCTCCGACTACCATGATGAAGGAAAACAGGATTAGAATTCAGATTAAACAACTGGTTTTGTAGCCTGTCTTTCAGCACGCTGTGCAATATGCCACAGGTCTTTTCCCATGAATAACAAACACTTAGGCTATGTCTACACTGGCAGAGTTTTTTTGCCAAGAGCTTAATCGCTGATAAAAAAAGCGCTTAAAGAAAACCACTGTTGTGTTTCACATTGTCTTCCACTGGAGGCATAGCGTGTTCACACTTGCAGCACTTGCATCACCAATGAGAGCAGTGCACTGCGGGTAACTATCCCACAGTGCAGCTCTCCCCCTTCTGCCGCTAGGTCTTGTGGGAAGGCGGAGGGGATTGCGGCGCATCATGGGTCCAGGCTTAATGCCTCATGATCCACTGCTTTCCGTCCCAGCATTCCATGTGCTTCCGTCTTC